ACATCACATCATATTGTCCTGTGGTCAGTCTGTCTTGCCCATCTTTGAGAGGGTCACCATGATCTTCCACTTCTTTTCTGACAGTGTTCTGTTTCCTGTGGGGATGGCATCCAGCGCCGGCATGACACCTGCCTTGGACCCCAGGCCCAAGTGCCTGTGCCAGCCAGCTTCTGCCAGCACCTACCCAAGCCAGTGACAGTGAGGGGCTGCTGGGCTGGACCCTGTGCAGGGCAGGAGACCCCCAGCTCACTGGCTCAGCAGGAAGCTACTCTTCCCAGCCAGACTCAGGCTGCTGTTACTGTTGCTTCTCTGGTGTGGTCCCAGCCCCAAGTCCAAGCCCACACCCTCTTCCCAGCCTCCCAGTCTCGGGGAATTCAGGAAATCCTGGAGGAGTCTGGTTAGGTTTCTTTCTGCTTCCTGTTGGGGAGGTTGGCATCTTGACCTGGGCAAGCACTCAGGCACTAGAGCACATGCCATTGGGCTCAGGGCCTCCTTCCCATCTGGCAAAGGGAAGTCACACTTTTCATGTTTATATGTGCATGTGCGTGCGTGCGTGCGTGCGTGCGTGCGTGCGTGTGTGTGTGTGTGTGTGTAGAGGACAACTTTGGGTATCATTCTCAGGAGCTGTCTATCTTGTTTTAGACAGGGTCTCTCATTGGCTTGGAGCTTGCCCAAATAAGTTAGGGCTGGCTGACTGAGCCCCAGGGAACCACCTGTCTCTACCTCTGCAGTGCTGGGACTAAATGCACCTCCATACTTGCCCTTTAAAATGTAGGTTCTGGGGATTGGTCCCCATGCTTTCAAGAAAGCACTTTACTGACTGAGCAATCTCTCCTGTTCAGAAGCCACATTTTCACTTCTGTCCTCTTCAAATAACCTGAACATTGCAAGGTCAGGAGTTCGGGTCCACAGAACCCCAAGTCCACACGCCACACTGCCTCCTTTTCCCTGAAGCACATAGACGTGACCTTGGGTGGTGCTCTGATTTACAGCCCCCTGCTCACTTTTGCTAGCCCTAGCTGTCAACCCTGCTTTGCTCTGGTCACCTCACACCCCTTTCGTCCTCTGTAGGTGCCTGCGGAAGGCAGTACCTGGAGCCCTCAGGAACAATTGACATGCGAGGCCAAGAGCAGGAAGACTGTGTGGTGGCCATTGGGCGGCCTCTAGGTGAAGTGCTGACCCTCCAAATCCTCCAGAGCACCCTCAAGTGTAGTGCAGGTACATCCAGAGACAAGTGGGCAGCTGCTGAGCTTGGGGGGCCTGTAGCACCTCTAGTTTATCCCATTTCTGGCAGGGTGCCCCTACTTGGCATTTTAAAGGCTGTTTCATGACTGGAGTGTGGGGATCACCATTTATATAATAGAAACCTGGGGGGGGGGATGAGAGTTTTGGTAACATACCCCCTCCTTAGTCACATTAGCCTGTAAAAGGGAAAGTGGTTAGCTGAACTCAGCCCTGAGCCACTGCTGCTGACTTGGAGTGGGGTGCTGGCTCCTCAGTGTCCTGCCCTTTCTAGGAGAGCTGTTGCTGCTCTGGGGTAGATTCACATGGAGGAAGACATGTTGGAAGATGTCTGGCATGACTTTCAGCACCAAAACCAACACACTGGTGGTGAGGCAGCATCGTGTGCTGCCAGGGGGCGGAGTGCTGCTACAGTATTGGAGCCAGCCTGCCCCAGGGACCTTCTACAGAGGTACAGCCAGGTGCCTGGGCCTCCCCACCTTCCCATTGGGTGGGTATGCCCGTGTTTATGTGGACAGGGCATTTTCAACAGGGCCATGGGCAGGTCGGGAGAGAGCTGGCCAAGATGGCAACTGGGAGCAGGCAATGTTTCCCAAATGGCCAGGATGGGTTCCTCTGTAGCCATGAAGCTGGATGAGTGAACATAGATATGACCTATGTCCGTGTCCCATCCTTCACACCACTGCCCCATTCCCTTGACCTTGGTTCTCTGCTCTTTCTGGGTCCCCTCAGGTCTGTGAGCCACTTTCCTCCAGCCTGCTTCTGGTGACTTGTATGTGTTTGCTAGCATTCACAAATAAGGTGCCTGCACTCCATACTCTTCAGACAGAGGGCATCCATGGATTCCTGTTTTATCCAGAGCCCAAACGGTTCTCTAAGAGCCCTTTTGATCACCTCAGGGGTTTGATGTAGAAGTCCAAGGTGACTGAAGATGTCTTCTACCTTGCCAATTCCAGACGATTCTGCTTGGCCCAGGCTTCATGTGAAAGTGGCGCAACGGGCATTGCCTGTGCAAAGGTGTCTCCCCCTCCCACTCCCCAGTTTCTCAAGACAGGGTTCTCTGTAGCTCTGGAGCCTGTCCTGGAACTCACTCTGTAGACAGAGATCCGCCTGTCCCTGCCTCCCAAGTGCTGGCATTAAAGGCGTGTGCCACCAATGCACGGCCTCTGCAGAGGTTTAATGTGCCACTCTTTTCCCACAGCCGCCACCAGCCGTAAGCTGTGCAGATGGCTAAGTGTAAAGGTGCTGTGGGGTCCTGCTGGGGAGCCCACTGGCTTCATTCTCATCGTTTCCCCCTTCTCACATGCAGACAGTGTGCCTTAAGGGGGTTCCTATGGACTACCGATGACAGCAGTGGACAGCATAACTGAAACCCAACTTTCCTGCCAGCTTTGTATCTTAAGTATTTTGTAGCACAAGTTCATTGAATTCGCCCTCCCCCCCCCCTTTTTTTAATATTATGTATAGTGTTCTGTTCACATGTTTGCCTGCAGGCCAGAAAGGGCATCAGATCTCATTATAGATGGTTGTGAGCCACCATGTGGTTGCTGGGAATTGAACTCACGACCTCTGGAAGAGCAGTCTCTGAGCCATCTCTCCAACTCCCATTGAATCCTCTTCTAAAATCCCCTGCTGAAAGCATGCCACTGTTCCCTTCTCCTCACAGCAGAGGGAACCAAACCTTGGAGCCTTTCTAGTTCCTTTAAAAATTATTTTCTTTAGTATGACTCTGTGTGTATGATGTGGTGTGTGGGCATGTGCATGGCATGGTGTGGAGGACAGGGGACAACTCCTTTCATCTTTATGTGGGTTCCTGCGATTGAACTCAGGTCATTAGGCTTGTGTGGCCAAAACCAAGATTTTTACCCATCGAGCCATCTCATCAACCCTCCTTTCCCTTAAAAGAATTACTTTGTGTGTGTGTGTGTGTGTGTGTGTGTGTGTGTGTGTGTGTGTGTGTGTTGCAGGGCAGGGCAGGGGCACTGTCAGAGGTTCTTTCCCACTGTGTGGTCCTAACAACCAGACTCAAGCTGTCAGGCTTGTATAAAGCCCTTTACCTGCTGAGCCATCCTCACCTGACCCTTTCGGATCACGGCCTGAAGCCAGTCTATTAGAAGTGGTTAGAGTGAAGGCTCGGCAGTGTGGAGGGGATAGCCTGTTAGGGACCACCCTTGTATCAGTAGTCTCCCTGAGGCGGCCCACAGCCGGTCAACCCACTTGTTCTTGCCTGCAGAATGTGACAGGCAGCTCTTTGGACCTCGGGGTGAAATTGTGAGTCCCCCATGGAGCCCAGATGGGAGGAATGCAAGGAGCTGCAGGGTCTTCATCAATGTGGCCCCACAGGCCCGCATTGCCATCCGTGCCCTGGCCAGTGATGTGGGCACTGCCTCTAAGGGGACCAGTGCCAACTATGTCTCGGTGAGGTCTCCAGGAAAGGGGGCAGAAATAGGGTGGCTTTTAATGTTTCTGGGGACCTGTCTCTAGGAAGAAGAATGGGGATGCTGGTTTAGGGAACCCTTTCAGTTTATTTCTCACCCAAACTTCAGAATTATTTGAAAAAGTGGGAAGGAAGGTTTCCTCCATTAACTCACCAGCAAGTGCTTGTTGCTACTTGCAAGGAAGAGGGAAACAAACCCTTTTCTGGGGGTAGATTGCCTATTGACCCAAGGTGGAAGCATCATGTTCATGCCTGTTTTTTGTTTTGTTTGTTTGTTTGGTTGGTTGGTTTTGCTTTTTAGAGGAGCATAGGTATAGCTGAGGGCTCTATAAGGCATTAGATAACCCCAGAGTCAGGCGTCAGCAGTATTCCAGCTCTGGCACCCGGCTGTGTGTCCTGGGGAAGGGGCTGAAAGTCTCTGAGCTTCAGTTTCTTGGAGAGGAACAGTGTCCCTCATGGGAGCTCCTGTGAGAATCAGATATGATTCTAAGTAGCCAGGATTCTAAACATTCTAGACAGTGATCACTAATGGCCTGGTCTGGCTATTTGCTTCTCCCTAGATCAGAGATATCCACAGTTTGAGGACCACAACATTTTGGGGGCAACAGACGCTCTACTGGGAGTCGGAAGGCAGTGAGGCTGAACTGGAGTTTAGCCCTGGTTTCCTGGAGTCGCATGCAAGCCTCCAGGGTCAGTACTGGACCATCCCACTGAGGACACCATAACAGGACGACAGCCTGGTTCTATTCTAGATTTCTTTCCAACTGCCTGAAAGGGCGGCAACACTACACTAAATAACCAGCCCTGGAGGGTGCAACACTAGCTTCTTACGAGGTTCTGACGCCTGCCAGCCTTAGGGAGCATCTTTTAGGGACCTTTTCTAGATGCAGAAGGGCTGGGGCTGGGAGGTGAAGATTGGAAAAACAGCCCCAGCTCCAGTTTCTAATAAAGGATACAGTAAACCTAACTGGCGTTTTCCTCCCATAACCTGCCCCAGCCGGTCTTGAAAGTTCATTCTACCGCAAGGCAGGTTCCCTGGACTTCTAAGCAGGGCCTTCGCCACTTGTAGATGACGTTGAAAGACCTTGGAAAGAGAATAGGCCAGTCCGAATCCGGTGCACCTACTGGGTCTCGGCGGCCGGGAAAGCTTAACGAATTGTAAACACGCCCCTTACGCTAATAGACGCCAGTCCGGGACCCACCCTCCCGCACCCGGCTACTGGCCTGCGGGTCCGCCCCTATGCTAATCGCCGCCGCTCCCACAAGGCCGCGCGCGGGTGGACACGTCCCTTTGTGCGCGCCTGGGGCTGTGCGCAGCAGCGTAGCGCGTAGTGTCCCAGCAGCATGAGCGGCTCCGGCGCAGCCGGTGCGGCCACCGGCCCTGCCCCACCGGCACAGGAGGAGGGCATGACGTGGTGGTACCGCTGGCTGTGCCGCCTGGCGGGCGTGCTAGGGGCGGTGTGTGAGTACCGCGGCTGGGGAGCGGGCGTCCCCGGGGTTGCCATGGCTCCTGGCCTCCGGCCTGCGTTCTGCCACTCCCGAATGCGGTGGTCGGAGGCCGAGCTGACCTGGCCTTGCCCAGAGGAGCCGAGACTCAGGGGGACGCGCGTCTTTTTCTTCCCGGTCCTCCTCGGCCTGGCGATGATCTCCTGGGCTGCGTTGGGACTGCCAAATCTCCAGCCTTTGGGCAAAGCTTGTTCATATGTGGGGGCGGTGGCAGGTCGCCACAGGCTGTAAAGTTTGCGCGAGAGTCAGACGGTGATGGTCCCTCATGATGGCTGGGGAGAGGCAGCTTTTCTTCGGTTTCTCACTGACCATTTAGACTCCGGCTCTTTAGCTGTCTCACGGCCCGGAATCTCCACACCAATCCCTGGTTCACACCCCCCTGAGTTTAGGTCCCAGAGAGCTCGAAAAGGATAAAAGAGAAAGGCAGGTCCCCTTCTTATGTGCAGCCATGTTTCTGGCCTTCCAAACCAGACCTTTGAACCGAATGTGTTTCCTAAATCCTGTCTTTCCCTTTTCATTGTGAATTCCTAGAAGCCCAGGGGTAATGCTGGTCTCAGGAAAGGAAGGTCCAAGGATCCCATTGCCCACCTGGTACAGGAGCAGAAACTGTGTGGATAGGGCAGACCCATCTGCTCTCCTGCCTGAAGGAGTATCTTAAAGCCCCATCTGTCCAGAAGATCCAGCTGGAAGTTCCGGTGGATACAGTGGGGTTAGGTTTGTGCTGCCCTGGTAAGGCAGCTCCAGAGGGAATTTTCTGAAGTTGAGTTCAAATTCTCTGCAGTGCAGATAGTTTTTTCGAGGTGGTAGTAAGAGTTGTGGGATCAAGGAAGATCCTGACCAAGACCTGCACCATTCCACCTTTCCCCCATCTTTGTGATCCCATCAGTGACCCAGGTGACTTCTAGATTGACTTTAGAAATCCCACCCAGCCCCGTGCATCCTAAAGTGGGTGTCTATGCTACTCCAGAAGGCCTCTGACCCTCCTTCTGGGTTGAACCACAGTGTTGAAACCCTAGGAGAGACCTATGGAACTAACTTCAATTGTCCCCTGAGCCTGCAGATTTGGGGGGCATCAAGGATTTGAGCATTGGCATACCACAAGGGGGGAAAGAAGAAGTGTATTTGCTTTAGAAACTCAGTAGGTGTTTTGACAAGAGCTGTGTCTTGGCCAGCCACTTTGGCATAGGGCTGTCTTCTGTTAGAGTGAAAGGCCTTGGAGGGATTTTTTTTGTTGGTCCCAAAGGCATCTGTAGACAATAGCTATAAAGAAGAAAGAATTGTATAGTGACATCGCCCTTTTATGGAGAACATAGCAGTAGCACTTTAAGTGGATGGATTTGAGTCCTTGGTTGTCAGGAGTTCTAGTTATCTGGGTTATGACCTGGCCCTCCCCAAGGCTGGCTTTATAGGGCAGCCTGGGTGGCTTGGAGCCATAGATGGGATGCTGATGGCAGCAGTGCAGGCCTCTCAGGTGAGGCCAGGCCCAGCTGCACACAGGCAGGAAGTAGGTAGTCCCCCAGGGCCACACATGAGTGCTGTTTGGGGTTCTATATTAGAGAAGGAGCCTTGATGGCTTAGGAGCTGTGCCATTCAGAGTCATTTGGTCCATTCTCCTGCATCAACTTCCATTTGCATAGTGTAACACAGGAAAGAGGAAAAAGAGGAATTCCACTGGAATTCCAGGCCCAGTGGAGGGATCAGGTGCCATGGGCCTGCTGCAAGTTTAATGAGTTGGTGGCTAATTGCAGCCTCAGAGGGCCAGCACTCTGCTCCTCCCTGGCAACAACCTGGGCTTGTGTCCGGCCAGGCTGGGCAGCTCCCAGGAATGAATGTCCTTAGAGGCTCCCAGAGTTCCTGGTGAGGGACTTCCTGGTGAAGCCTGCTGCAGGCTGTGAGTGGGTGTGGCAGACTGCGTCCCTGAGGTGCAGTCACTGGAGTGAAGTTATGGGAAGAGGAGGACACTGTCCTCTCATGATGTTGTGCTGTTCTATTGGGACACAACATGCCCATTTGCAGGAGAGAAAATGAGTTTGGAAATACATGCCCAGGGTCACTTGGCTGGTGTTTTAGATGTGGAACTGTCATTTGGAACTGGTGCCCATTAGTGTATCATGAGAGGCATCCCTATCCTGACCCAAATTCAAGCTGTAACCAGACAGTGGCACATACCTGCAATCCCAGCCCCCAGTGTTTGAGGCCAGTTTGGACTACAGAGTAGGACTCTGTCTCAAAGGAAGATAACAACAACAACAATTTAAAAAAACAAAACAAAAAACTGTGTCCCAAAAGGGGATAAAAAAACACCCAAAACTCTTAACCAAGCAAGCATAAACAACAAACAGCTCAAATCTGAGTAGAGTTTTCCAAGTCAGAGGGCTTCTTGAGTAGCCTACTTAGTGGATAATGATAGATGGCCCTTGCTAAGGTTCCTGTAAAAGGCAGGACAGGCCTGACTTCTTGAGGGAATTTCGATAATAGCTGGGAACCAAGGGCTGGCCCATCAGAGCCTTAGGTTTGAGGAGGGTGTTGCCTTTACCATCCCCCAAGTGTGAAAGTAGCTAGATTTGAGGTTCAGAAACAGGCTTTTTGAACCTTACTCGCAGCTGTCTCAGGTGATGGTGGGTTGCTGAGAGAAGCCCCGGTGCTAAGCATATGAAGGGAGCCCCGTGAATTCTCAGTGTCTGCCCAGACAGCCTTCTGCAAGCTCTGCCCCATACTCCACTAACTCCTGACCATGTCTTTTGCTTTGAAGCCTGTGCCATCTCTGGACTCTTCAACTGTGTCACCATCCACCCTCTGAATATCGCAGCTGGTGTGTGGATGATGTGAGTAGCTGTGAATGGCCTGCCCTGGTGGGGTTTGAGGTCTGTGGTGCAGGGCCTATTCCCTTTCCTGCTCCCACCACATTTAGGTTTCCTAACAATGGGCCAGGGGGACAGCCAGCTGAGCCTTTATTGGGTACAAGGTCACAGAGCTGTTGAGCATCTACCCAGCTAGATACTATAGACTCCTTGTCTACTAGAGTGGGTGGTTCTCTCTGGGAGCTCCAGAGTCATGGTGTGTAAGGTCAGAGTTGAGGGTCTAAGAGAAGAGGGTGGTCAGCTGTGAGGTGAGCAGAGCTAGTTAGGGGGCAGATGCAAATGGAACTGGTGGCTATAGCATCCACAGGTGAGCTCCTTATCATCCTCTTCCTGGCAGCTGGATCCCAGGAAAAGGGACACCAGAGTAAGGACTGCTCAAGGCGTATGGGAAGCATTGTACATTAGCATTTGTTAGTGCCTACGAGGGGCTACACAGTCATTTGGGGCAAGGTACAGGTCTTGCCTTAGGCCTCAGGCAAGGGTGATTTTGGTCTTGTGATGTGTACAGAGGCCTGTGCTGGTCCAAGGTGGCAAGGATGAGCACTGTAGAGGTTGTGTACAGATTGGTGGAACTGTGAGCTAGTATTTGGAAGACTGGTGGCCATGGTGGGTGGGGAGGTAGGCAGTGGTCTAGAGTTACAAGAGCTGTGTCTGTTAATCAGACTGTCATAGGTACTTTCCTTCCAAATGTGGAGCCTAGCAAAGACTCAGTTGTCTGGTCATGACCATCACCCATCTATAGGAGCAAAGGCCTTCAGCACCAGCAACTTAGTTGCTGCCAGCAGCTGGGCAAGGATTGAAGGCTTCTGAGTAGAAGCTCCAGGCATGGGCTGCCCACTGTCATGCATCTTACCTTCCTGACCCACATGGTCTCGGGCCTCAGGTCATGAGTAGTCCTTAGCAACTGGGTGCAGCAGGCCGTCAATGGCAGTGTTGGTGACTATGGTGATACTGCTAACAACTGGCATTGTGACTAAGTTCTGTGGATGAAGATGCTGCTAGCTCAAGATAACATCGAGGTACAAGGATCTTGGTTCTTCATTTCAGAGTTGGCAGGATCTTCCTCCTGGATGCTTGGGCAATTAGAGATGCTGCTGCAGCAGTTGGGTGGGGTGGGGTAGAGTGTTGAGCTGCTTGGCAGAAACTGGTACCTTGTACTGTCTAGGTGCTTACAGAAGCAGAGGGCCTGTGGGAGGGTGGTGTTCCTTGAGCCACTAGCATGAAGGCTTTTGCAGCTCCAGGATGTCAACATCATTGTCCTTTCTGCCTTTGCCCCTGTAGCATGAATGCCTTCATCCTGTTGTTGTGCGAAGCGCCTTTCTGCTGCCAGTTCGTGGAGTTTGCAAATACAGTAGCTGAGAAGGTGGACCGGCTGCGCTCCTGGCAGAAGGCGGTTTTCTACTGCGGGTGAGGGCTGCTGAGCCGGCCCTGTGGCATGGTTCTCCAAACTCTTACTGGTTAAAGCAGGTATTGGTAGGGTGGATGGGGCAGGAACAGGTAGGGGCCTTTCTTTCCTGTGGGAGTTTTTATTTGATAGCTGTGGACACAGCCACTGGCCCATCCAATATTAGCTGCTACAGAACAGGACCTAGTATCTGCCATCTGGAGCTCAGATGGCAGCTATGGCCACACAAGTGTTCTACAATCTATAGTGCTTGTAGCAGTACGTGTGTAGGGGAACAGGGAAGCAGCTGGGAGTTAACAGACAGATCATTCATTGTACATCTGTGCAGACATTTTGCAGCCTTGAAAGGAGTGTGGCTAACCTAGATGTTCAGACATGAGCTTGCAGAACAGAAAACACCATTTTCCTCTAAATATGCTTTTTCTCCTTCTGGTTCTTACAAGTGCAGTGTGTCATAAGACTGCACCACTTCCGAGACAAATAGAATATACAGAAGCCTCTAAAGAGGGGCTTTTGCATGAGAACCTAGCTTGGCAGTGATATTTATCACAATTTATCTTTAAGATCAGGTTAGATCAAAGCTTGGTAGAGGCTCAGCGGCTTCAGCAGTGAAAATATAAAATGAGCATGTATTGTGCTTGCTGGCAGTTTTCTGATGTGTCTAAGTCCAAAGGGATCATAGGGTCATAAAGTTCTAATTGGTGTCGCATGGTGTCCTTTGGTTTGTTTGTATGCACACACACATATGCATGCATACCTACATGTAAGTGCACATGAGTATGGAAGCCAGATTTGGAATCAGGTATTTTCCTTGGTTACTTTCCATTTGTTTTTAAAGATAGAGGCTCTCATTGAACTGGAACTCATAAATTTGGCTAGACAGCCTGGCCAGTGAGCTCTTGGAATCCACCTGTCTCTACTTCACCAGCCCTAATGTACTTCGGTTTTTATGGGGATCCAAACAGGCTCTCAGGCATGTGCAGTAGGCACCTTACCAAGTAAGCCATGTCCTCATCCCTTCATTTTTCCCCTTTTGTATTTGAGATGGTCTCATTATGTAGACCTGGCTGGCCTTGAACTCACAGAGATTCATCTCTCTCTGCCTCCTGAGTGCTGGGATTAAAGGCATGAATCACCATACCTGGCTTTCTTTGAGTGTTTACGATGTGTTGTCATGATGCTCACAGTAAAGCCATTTGTAAAGTAGAAAATGGTCACTCCAGACCTCACTACCTATTAATTTTTTTGGCATATGTCTCTCCAGTCTGAATCCAGACACTTGAAGCTCATCTTTAACATGCCTATAACTGCTGAACCTGCTTATAAAGTTTGAACCTGCTTTTTTGACTTGCTGTGATATCAACATTTTCAGTATTACCACAAAGACTATGATATTCCTTTAAATTTTTTTTTTAAACAGAGCTATCTCTCTCTCTTTAAAGATTTGTTTATTTATTACGTATGCAGTGTTCCTCCTGCATGTATGCCTGCAGGCCAGAAGAGGGCACCAGATCTGATTACAGATGGTTTTGAGCCATCATGTGGTTACTTGGAATTGAACTCAGGACTTCTGGTCAGTGCTCTTAACCACTGAGCCATCTCTCCAGGCCCATTCCTTTTAATGTTAAACACATTTATTTAGCTGGACACACTACCTGTCTTCATTTGTTAGCTAATGTCAATCAAGTCTGGTGAACATCTGTCTGCTAAAACTGTCATGATGACATCCTTAGATGTTTCCAGGTGTGGAATTACCAGATCAAAGGTTATGGTCATTCAAAAGAGCTTAACATGTGTGGCTCAGTGTCATCTGGAGAGGCCATCTGGGTATCCTTCCCCTCTCCACCCAGTGCCTAGTGATACTTTCACATTTATATTCATTGTCTAAGAAGTAAAACACCCTCCTGTGTATTCACATTCACTTTCTTTCTCAAAAGGATTCTGGTTCCTGGTCTGCTCATTTGAGAACTTTAATGTTTGACTTTGCAGGCTGTGTGTTTTCACTATTAAAGACCTCACATTCCTTTACTATGTTTCCCATTTTGTTTTTTCCAGCCTATTTGCCTTTAATGTTGATGGTTTTCCTGCTGTGGCTTTTCCCTCGAGATTTCTATTATTTTATTATAGAGGATCCTTGACTTAAGATGGGTTTCCATTTAGATAAAATAGATATCCTATTGAAAACATGGTAGCACACCTCACCCACCAAACACAGCTGTTGCCAACCTTCACCAGGCTTAAAGCCATGTGCTGGGCATTGTGACTTGGTGTGGCACCGCATAAGGTGGCCTGCAGAGCTTGGGACTCAGAACTCTAGTCAATGTCTGCTGAGTACCACAACACAACCATTTAAGTCAAGGACCCTTCTGCTATAATGAATTCTACACTGGAAATCCAAGGAGTGTGGTTGGCTCTGGGTGTCATCTTCCTGTTCTGGGTGCTTCCTCTCCAGAAGTGACTGGACTGAGGGTTGGGCTGCAGGCTCCAGAATCTTCCTGGGTCAGCCTGTCTGGGAGTCACCTCGTTGGAAAAATTCCATCCCTCAAGACTGAACTGCAGAGGATTGTAGGTGAAATGGCTCACCACCAGGTGGCGCCAGCATGCTACTGGAGCCCCAGGCTGAGCTGCACTGGGCCCAGTGTTGCCTTGGGTGTGAGCTGGGTTGAGGGGCGGGAGCAGGGGGTGGGGATTGCTGTACTGATGAGAGTGTTCATTCAGTGCTTGTGAAGTGGGTATAGGGTAAGTGGTCCTTACCTTGACATCAGGACCTCACGTTTGACCCCACTATATAGTGGAGGTGGAGCCTTGAGAAGCGACTTGGTCACATGACTGTATAGATGGACTATACCCCCTATCCTCTGGGTCCAGCCTCTCAGTTTTAATGAATAGTGGGGTCATATTCAGCTCTTCCCTATTTAACCCTTTGTGGGTCACAAATATTTTGACACAGACCTGATACGGTTTTAAACTCCGGCTCTGGAAGGGATGTTTGAGGACCACATATGGGACAGGAGTGCACCCTTGACCTCTGTTTTCTCCTAGGATGGCCATCGTCCCCATCATCATGAGCCTGACCCTGACCACACTGCTGGGCAACGCCATCGCCTTTGCCACTGGGGTGCTGTATGGACTATCTGCCCTGGGCAAAAAGTGCGTCTGCAGCCCCAGGGTGGGGCCTCCTTTGCTGCCCCCGCTACCCCATTTCAAGTGGGAAAGGTCTGAGTGGGACCCTTTGTCTAGTTATGCACAGTGGTCACAAGCGTGTTACCTGTACTCTCAGGAACAGAGGCAAGAACCCAGGGAACAACCTAGGCGGCCCCTCTTGCCTGACTTGCACACCATCAGGTGTGCACCAGACATTGTAGCCAGCTGCCACCTCTCCCCTTCAGTCAGTTCAATGCCAGGCAACATGTGCCCCTCTCAGAGTAACAAGGCCTCTATCCCCTTGACAGTGGCCTCTGGGGAGCACAGTCCTGGGGGAATATGCCTACAGGTCATATCTGGGTTACAACCTGGGAGTTGGCTTTGGGAAGGCTGTGCCTATGGAACACCTACCTACTTTTCTCTCCCTAGGGGTGATGCCATTTCTTATGCTCGGATCCAGCAGCAGAGGCAGCAGGCAGATGAGGAGAAGCTGGCTGAAACTTTGGAGGGAGAGCTGTGAGATGAGGCAGGGCATCCTACCCTCATTGGGGTCTGTGTGAAGTCTGGAGAAGGCTGAGTGTCAACTGTTAAATGGCCTGGAGAGGAGTCCCGCAAGTCACCTTGCCTCAAGTCTTCCTGTGCCTATCCTGTTCTCTGGACTTACTGAGCCTGGAGCTTCTGCTCTACTGATACCGAAGACCTGGGCCATAGAAAATGGACGGGACAAACTCATTCCTGTCAGTCTGTGGTGCAGATTCCTGTGCTAATTACCCATCCCAGACCTAAGAGCAGCCACTCGTGAACACACTGGTCCTCAGTTGGTTAAGAGGCTGAGCACCCAGGCTCCGGCCCCTTCAGGCTTCATCCTTTTAGGTCCGAGCTTGCTGGCAGGCGAGGCTTCAGTTCTGCACCATGCAGAGTACAGCAGTGTCCCTGAGGCCAGCTACTGCTGCCAGGAGCGGGAGAGATGGCTGGGCTTTGAGAATCTACAGCACGCCCAGGATGCAGCTTCCTGGACAGAAGAGCAGCCTTGGACAAGCTATTTCAGGACATCTCGCTGTTCCATCTCCCATAGGTTCTGCCTCTCTCCCAGTGTGTTTGTGTGTATGGTGTGTTAGGGGTGTGTGCTCCTGCCAGCCTGCAGTGAGAACCTCTTTGTCAGTGATGGCAGGCTCACTATAAGTAGGGATTGACCTCAGGTATTCCTCCCAACCTGCCCCTGGCATCCTATAGCCTTTGAAGAGCTGGGCAGGGACTAGAGCCACCTTTCACACAGAGCTGGCCCTGTCTCAGGTACCAGGCCACAACAAGTAAGCTGCATGGCTAGGGTATGGAGAGCTACTACCCTGGAACTGGCCCTCCTGGACATACCCTGGCTATCCCCCATCCTTCCTCTGTACTGCTATCTTTTCCTACTGTCCTGTGATATTGATTGGCACTAATGGCTGATTGGATGGGACCTTAGCCATTAGGCACATGTTTAGTGGCCTAAGGATAATGTGAGAAATGATAAGTCCTGCCTCCCTCCTGTGCGAGACCTTCAGCTGGGCCTGCTCCATGGGACCCAGGCCCAGAGCTGTCAAGCTTCTAAGGGATCTTTAGCTCACCAATGTTTGGTGTCAGGAGTAGTGGGTATTCTGTTGGGATAGAGGCTCTTTGATCTGTGGGCTCTGGGGAAAGAAGCAGTTTTCCAGAGACCCTAACTATGCTGAACCCCAGAGTAGTAGAGATGTCACAGTGTAGCTAGTTTGGTGGGACAAGTGTCTTCAGGGTTCATCTGAGGCTATTTTTCTCAAGCCTGGAATGGGCTTCAAGGGCTCTGTGTATATATGTTTATGTGTGCCAGGGCCTGTGTTCACAATAAGACCTGTCTACCTCCCAGGAGGAGCAAAGGCCCTACTTGCCCTTCTGGTTACTTATTTAGGCATAAGATTTGGGTCACTTCTGCCCCTAGCAGTGAAGCTCACTAGCTACATCTGTAGTAAGATTGTACCCCACTAGGGAAACCCATTTTGTACTGGACAGGCATGGGATGGGGTGTAAAGGTCAAGGCCCTCAGGCATAGACCACAGTGGGACAGTCCCTTACATCCTGTGGATCCTAGAAGCACAGTGGGTCTGGAACCCATTGCCTTGCCTCTGAGCATGGGCACTGTGTAGCTCGCACTAGGCCCCATTCTTGCCTGTCTGGCTGTTTTCTGTGGCTCCTTCTGCCATTCACCCCCTGGTTTGTTTGTTACTTAGCTTACATTTGGAGTAAAGCAAGCCTGTAGTTGGAATGCACAGTCTACCTGTCACCATCTGTCTTCAGTGTCTGTGACTGGCAAAGAGACCCTGTTTATGCCAGCTGGACCAAACCTAGCCTGAGCCTGCTCACAGGCTCTCAAAGAAAGTTGCCTATCCACAGAGGGTGAGCTAGTATCCAACTCCTTGGTGGCTGCTGCTTTCTCTGCACTATGATCATGTCCAGAGCACCTGACAGTCTGGGCTGAGTTTGAGGGTAGCCTGGCTGCTGAGGAAGGGAGGTTCTCCCTGGAATAGAGCCCACTCCCCTTTCCTCCCTGAGGCTGCAGGCCCAGTTCTTTTATTTTGAAGAAACAGTTAACAGTTTGCAGACTAGAGGTATCCCAAGATTGGAATGGGTCCTATACTCTGGCCTTTGGAAGTTCAGTGTTCCCCAAGTTACCCAGACCCTTGTGGGTGCAGGATCCTGTCCTTCCCATGACCAGTTGACCAGAACAGCATGATGTGATGATGTCCCTGTACAGAGCCATCTCCATCCCTGTTCTCTGTCCTCAATATGGTCCTGCATGAGCAGTGTCCCTTGTAGGAGTAAGGAACTAAGCCCCAGGTCCCCTGGCAGCCTTGTCCTTAGGCACAGCCTTTGCTCAGTCTGGGGCTGGGCTGTCTGCTCCCCTGCAGGTCTCAGCTCAGGTATTACAGCTCTGCAGGCTGCCTCAGCTGGGGCCTACCAGCCCATAGTTGGTGGACTGGTAGAAGTGTGTTCTGGCTGATGGCAGGGATGTTGCTCCTGGTTGCAGGTGTGAATCTGTGCCAGTGCATAGGCCTGGCCTGGTGGTTTGGCCCCTTAACAGCAAGCCCCTGACTAGGGCCTGAAGGACATCCTGCGGGTGTGGAAGAAGGCCTCGATCTGCTCCAGCGAGCGGCCCCTGGTCTCAGGCACACAGAAGCCTGTGAAGAGCAGACTGAGCAAGCAGATGGCCGAGAAGAAGAAGAAAGGCACCTGGAGGCCGAAGGCATTCTGCAGTGGGGAGTTGGGGAGGGAGTCACTGAGCAGACAGAGCCCCCAGCCAGAATTTCATGGGCTCAGCCAGTACTGGCAGCCTGTGGGGCATTCATCTGGCCACTGCTCGGCTCAGCAGCCTCCCAGCTTTCCCTACTATTCCCAAGCTGTCCCTCAGCAGTCCTGCCCAAGCTCCAGGCTGCCTACAGGGCCTGGTGGGCAGCATGTATCAGCCCTCCTCTTAACCTCAGTCATTGAGTGGAGAGGGCAGGTTCTGGCTTGTGCTGACCTAGCTGGATTCCCCTGGTAGAGTCTGGAGCTGGCCAGCATTCGGGTATTTTTAGAACCTGCTGCCTTGCAGAGCTAGGGGTAAGGTATGTTTAGGAGGGACCTCACACCATGCTATAGTCAGATAGCAGAGTTACACTGGAGAAGTCTAGCATCCAGTAGGTCAAGAGACAATGCAGATGATCTGGGTTGTATCCTTGGGCTGAGAGGTAACCTGACTCCCAAACACCCCCAGTATGTTCCTGTTTCTTGTAACGGCCTTGGCTGTGCTATCTTGGTCATTCTTAGCCTGTAAAGGGCCTGTGCTCCTCTCTAGGAGTTGTAGAAGGGAAACTGCTAATGGAGAGACCTGTGATTCCTGGGGCCAAACACTCACCACTGCCAGCAGGAAGTACTTTGTGAGAATGAAGGCTGTAAGCCAGCTGACCAGCACGCAGAGCCCGGAGGCAACACCACGGGCACGCAGGGGCAGAACCTCAGACATGAGGAGCCAGGTGATGGGCCCCCAGCCCATGGCATAGCCTGTTCAGAAGAGGGGAACAGCTGGGCTCAAGCCTGGGGACCCTCAACCTGCCTTGCCTGTGTCTTCTGGGTTGTAAGGAGGCCCTATCCTCTAGCTCCCTGACCCCTTAGGCAAACCAGGACAGTAATAGAACCCTTGTGCCCCCCAACAGCCCCTCCCAGGTGTCCCCACTGCCAGGGTGCTCCTACCCATAATGAAGAGCATGGTGGCCAGCAGGGGTATCAGAGTGAGGTAATCAAAGGATGTAGTTGGGGGCTGTTCTGTGTTTCCCAGGGTCATGATCTCCAGTCCCACAGTGCTGTTGGGGGTCAGAGGCCTTGGACCAAACTGGATGTACAGCCCCAGCGTCAGGTTGGCAACAAGCATGATGGATGCTGTGGACACATGGGTACGTCAGGGCCAAGACACTTCAAGCTTGAGGCCCTTTCCAAGCCCATAACATCCCTTTCTGGGTGGCGAGGCTGGCTTGTGAGAGGGACACCCCCACACCCCCAACACTGAATGGCAAGCTCAGGGTCTTACCACACCCCTGAGCTAGGTGGGTAGGCTCCTTTCTCTTGGGGCTCTAGCAGACCTATCTGGAGCAGCTGCCATTTGTTAGGTCCTGGACCATGTGCCAGGGAAGCTTGAGTGTGGCCCAAAGATTGCAGTCCACCAGTGGCTGTAGGAGTAAGAGGCACATATCAGAGGGGACACTCACCTGACACATAGAGCAGGACTTTACGGCCAGCCAGGTCCATGGTGACAGCAGCAATCAGCACAGACACGAGCCTCACAGCACCCACTATGGCTGCATCCTGCTGAGAGGGCTGTGGGGCAGGGCACTGGGCTGAGAGACCTGGCCGGTGTTCCATGTCCTACCCGACCCTAATGCATGTCAGGGTACTCAGATCTAAGTCCAGGGTCACTGTCCTTTCTTTTGCCATGAGCCATCATACGTACCAGTACTTTCTCTGCACCCAACCTTTTACTGGGGATTTTCCCAACACAGGCATATCTACTATGTCTACTACTAGTCCTGGTGGGCACAGACCCTAGTTTTGCAGTGAAGGTGGCCCCAAGTCATCCGCATCTTTAAATCTCATTGCAGGAAGAACCTGAGGGTGGAACTGGGCTCTCAGGCACCTCACGGGCCCTGCCTGGGACCTGAGCCTGAGACCATGATTCCTAAGAGTTCCACATTCTATTAAATTGTTGTGTTATTCTATACAGTTTCAAACACTTAAGCTTCCCTCAAGGAAAATGTAATTGAGGCAGGGTTTGACTCAGAGGTGTCCAGGTCTCAGTCACCTAACTCCCTGGCTTCCCTGCTCGTATTCTCCTCAGCCATCTCATGGGACTCTGGGCTGTGCTGGCCAGGTGAGGTCTCACCAGCGCCACAGACATGCTGTCGAAGATGGTCTGCAGGTACACGAGGATGGGTGTGATGCCTGTCAGCTGCTGCAGAAAGCGCATCAGTACTGCGATGAGAATAGGCCGGTACACACGGGGGTCCCGGGCCTCTGCCCATGACACTTGGCTACTCTGAAACACAAAGATGCTGCTGAGGGGCTACACCAGGCTCTCCAGCCCTGGCCACCCTGTCTTCGCACCTGTGGGTCTAAGGGAGATCTCCTTTTCCCCTCTTCCAAGAGAGGCCCAAGTGTGGGCTCTGCACGCTAGCAAGAACCACTCTTGTTTGAGGAAAGGCAAGCAAGGCCCAAGGAGGCCTAGTGAATGTCCAGGGCCACCTATAGCCTCGTGCGTTGGGACTTGATCAGCCGGTCCCACCCGTGTCACACCTGTTTCCGCACATTGTCCTGGATCTGCTCAAACTCCCAATGGACTTCAGAGTCAGCTCGAAGCCAGGTCAGCGCCTGCAGTGCCTCCTCATCCCGGCCCTTTGAGAGCAGGAAGCGAGGCGAGTTGGGCATGAAGCTAAGCAGCAGGATCATGATGAGAACAGGCCCCTCCCCGGCCACAGCAAGCCATCTCCAAGGCAGCAAAAGACCTGGTCAGAGAAGCTTTGGTGAGAGGCTGGGGCCTCTGAGTAACCACACTGCTTTCCCAGCCTAGCCTCCCCTGGTTACCTAAGTTTCTGTAGTAGAGGCAATGAGGGGCTGCAGGGATTGCCTGGACCCTGGCACAAGAGCGAGTTCTTTAAATATAGTGGGAGAGAATAGGGCAGGCTGGACATAGGGCTCCCACCCCTGTCACCCAGGCAGCAAGCTCCTGTATGGGCTTCCCTCATGAGCTGACAGGATACTAGGATACCTTAGTGCTGTGGTAAGGTTGTCTGAGGCTCCTGCTGCAGGACAGGACTCAACTGCTCAGAGAAGTGGTATCCATGGGGGTGGGGAGGCGACTAGGAAGCCAGGTGCCCTGCCTATCAGTGCTAAGTTCCTTCAGGGAGAGTCCCATTTCCCCCATTTCCAGAACCTTCATGCTGGATTGCAGGATGGTACTTGCCAAGGGCATAGAGAGACAGGGATCCAAACACGGCCATGAGCTGCGGTGTGGCCCCCAGGGCCCCACGAACACCAGGGGGTGCAATCTCAGACACATACACCTGCAAGACACATGACTCCACTTGGGACTTTAGTGAGAATGCATGTTTCTGGGCCCACCTGGGTGAGGGAGGGGCCTGGAAGCTCGGAGAAGTTGGCAGACCATAGGTCTGACCTTCTTTTCTCTAGCAGAAGAGTTTACAGAAGCACTTAGCTCTCTCTGATGGGCATGGGGTGGGGGTGAGGAGGGATACACACAGATGGACTATGACGCTGGGACCAGGTGCCTGTATTTCTCCTGGTGAACCCTTTTCCCTCTGGGTCTGGCCAGGGGACAGGTATTTGTATGGAGTACTGCATAAAGTAAGCAGTTGGGGCTGGGGGTGGGGCAGGGCGGAGGCAAGAACTTCCCTTCACATCCCTTGCTCAATGCAGATTTTCTCCAGTTGAGCAATGCATTGAACTGAGGTCAGAGCACAGGATAGGAAGCTTTTTTGGTGACAATGATGTCAGCTTCTTTGGTGAAGGGAGCTGAGGTTTCTTGGGCAATGTAGGGGACCCCTCACACTCTTACAGAGCAAAGGCTGAGGCAAGGGTGTCCCAGAACCGCCCTGAGGCTGTGGAGACACCTGGCCTTACCGGGATGCAGGCAGCGGTGAGTCCCCCGGCAAAGCCTGTCAGCATCCTCCCCAGCAGGAGCATCCAGAGACCATGGGCACCAGCCATGAGTGCATAGCCAATGACTGAGGGGACAGCTGAGAACATGATGCTGAGCTTCCGGCCCAGAAGGTCATTGAGAACCATAGCACTGAGGCCCCCAGCTGCGGCACCCAAGGTGAACACGGACTGCAAGGGTGCAAGAAGATACAGTGGCCTTAAGCGTCTCACCCCCCATCAAGAGCCTAGAAATAGGTTCCCCAGGCCTGACCCAGAAGTCAGGCATTCATTGGTAGAGTCCCCTGTCTGTAGAAGTGCACAGCAGCCCGTGGACCATGAGGGTGCCATGATTACTGTTCTGCTCCACAGGTGCAGTGGGGCCACCTGTCTACAGTGGCTCTGTCCAGGAGTGCCCAATATTTTTCTGAGCTCAAGCACCACTCAAAAACATGCTCATCCTGCCTCCGCCTCCCAAGTGCTGAGATTAAAGGCATTCTCAGTGGCCCCCATTCTACCCAAGAGAACTCTGTGACTTGAAGACCCAGGGCCTTAAGAATTGAGGGTCATTGGAGTTGCTGTAGAATGAGGAGTTTTCCTGGACTCTTGTTACTCAAGAGCAGTGGAACCAGGACACACAGCTTGACTTGTCTAAGCCTCAGTTTCCTAGCTATGTAGTAGGAGGAGAGCACAGGTGACCCCAGGAGTGGTCTCTGGTATGTGCTGTGTGTGCCCTGCATATGCCCTCCATATTTGTAATGCTCAGGAAACCCTAACTCTTTCCAGCTTGGTTTTCGAGTTGCTGTTCTAACTCAGTGTCTACTGATATTCTAATGCTACAGTCTTGGGCTCTTGGGCTCTTCTCTATTTCGCCACACTCTGTCCTTCAGATGACATTTCTTATCCCTCTGGTCCCTGTATTCTGCCTCCAGATACCCAGGAGGATGTCAGCTCTGCTGTGGCAGCCTGGCTTTGGGTATGCAGTTGGGAAATCTCCCCATCAGCCCTTCCCTACATCTCAGCAGGATGTCACTTCCTCATGGGTCTTGCCAGCATATTAGCAGACAGGAGTGTGTGAGGGAGGGATACTGGGGCTCTACAGGAGGTGCTGAGGCTGAGTGATTTTAGTTCTCTGTGGTAAACAGGCTGAGTGGGTCCATGCTCCCCTACTACCCCATCTGACTTAGAGAACAGGCCTCACCCCAAACCAGGATGCCTGGATTTTGTTCAGGTGTAGTGCTGGGTCAGAAGAGAGCTTCAGCGCAGGGATGACTGGTGACGTGTAGACCAGGGCATACCCAAAGCTGAAATTGCCCAGCACAGCAGCAAAGGTGGCCAGGAACACCCTTCTGTTTTGCAAGGCCCTGGTGGGGGATGGGGTGGAACCAAAGGACCAGGGTCAAATCCTCTAACTGGATCCTGGGTTCCCATAAACTACTGCCTTCTCTGAGCCCAGTGGCCATCCAGTTCAGCAGATGATAGCACGGAGACGCCTGTCCAGGGCCAGTCGAGTTGGTACATCCTGGAGGCCTGAGCAACGGCTCTGGGAAATCCCCAAGGTATCAGCTGGGGATGGGGCCCTTTTTCTCCAGAAAAAGAATCGTGGGTTTTTCTTCCTGCCGTGCTACTCAAAGCTTGCTCTGTTATTTTAAACAAGCCCCTCATCCTCTCCCTATCTGTAATAGGCGGGGGCCCCACCCAGTATTCCTTTAGAGGATCTCTTCTCTATGGTGGACCAGCTCTTTAAATAGGACTTGCGAGCATGCGTCAAGAAAAGAGCCAGATGACTCTTGATGGCCACTCACCAGAAGTCAGTGGCAGCCCAAGATGTGTGCTTGCTGGAGATAAGGCCATCCCAACCTCCCACCCACCATACCCTGCGACTCTCACCCGGCCCGCGCCCTCTCTCTCGGCGACGCGGACGCCTCGGGGAAGGTATCATAGTCCAGACCCTCGTCTCTTAGCAGTGGCTCCTGCATGGTCAGCGCGGACGCTGAGTACAAGGTGGACTCCGCAGCAGGGTTAAAGCATCCGCCTGACCCCCCCCCCCCCAGCGCGCGGCAGTCAAAGCTCCGCCTTACTGCCGCGATTGGCTGCAGGGAGGCCCTGCAGGGCCGTGCTGTCCAATGGGACCGCCGCACGCCTCGGATGCAGGATGCGGTCGGGCTCTGGGGCGCGTCCTTCTGCGTGCGCTTTGAGCCACCCCCCACTCCCGGGTTCTGTCGGGGAAACCCGCTCCAAGGGCAGATCGCGGAGCTGGCGGGCACAAGCGGACGCCTGTCCGGGTGGTTTGGGACCAGCGACCAAGGCCGCTTAGCCCGACTCCTTCAGACTTGTGCCAAGGGCGTGGACCGTTCCGTGGCTGGGTCCCGCTTTATGGAGGAAACAAGCTCTCTCCTGTCATATATCTGCCACCCCACTGCTTCCCACTTGACCCTAGTTAAACCTGGACTGCTTTGGGTGGGTGCACTGGGAGTAGGAGACCTGAGCAGCTCCAGCGGGTGTTCTGGAGCAGAACCTGGGGCCTCTCTCTGCTGGGTAAGCAATTTGAGCTACAATTCCTAGCCTTTGGGATTTCCTAATTGTCGAAATAGTTTGTAATTGTTCAAAATCATTCCAGTAATGGTATAAAAAGTCAAAGTAAAGAAAAAACAAAACAGAAACTTTTCTGGATACCCATTCTTGGGTGTGGGCGAAAAAGCCACAGTCAGGATGCCTATTTCTCCCTTGGACTTTTTCAGGCATGGGTGTGGACTCACTTCCTGTTCACGTTTATAAGCTGACCCTTTGTGATCAGGTTATTAAAAAACAGTAACGGGCATTGTAAAAAGTCTCAGTTCCTTTTTTACTACAATAGAAACACGTCTACAGAGGACAGTAGAGCCCAGGAAACCACCCATCTCCCACAGCCCACCCTGCCCAGTCCTCTTTTTTCCTTTCTGTATCTTCCTCTCACATCTGCTGCTTACCAGGGAAGTGTGAATATTCAGTGGTATTCCACTTCATATACAATCTCACAATATGTTTGTTTGTTTGAATTTTATTTTAGGGGTTGGAGAGATGGCTCAGTGGGTGAGAGCACTTTTTTTTTTGAGTCAGTGATATTCTGTCTTTAAGAAAAACTACTTAACTTTATGTGCATTGGTATGAAGGTATCAGATCCCCTGGAAGTGGAGTTACAGACAGGTGTGAGCTGCCATGTGGGTGCTGGGAATTGAACCCTAGTCCTCTGGAAAAGCAGCCAGTGCTCTTAATCACTGAGCCATCTCTCCAGCCCCTGCACTGGCTGTGCTTGAAGAGAACTCAAGTTTGGTCCGCAGCACCACATGCTGGTACATCCTCCTCTGTACCTCCATCCCCAAGGTCATCAATACCTGCTTCTAGCTTCAGCTCTTGTGTGATGCAGACACAGGTGGATACAAAACACTCACCTAAAAATCTAAGATATGTGAATTTAATTTTATTTTATGTTTATCTGTCTGTGAGTATGTATTCCTGAGGCTAGAAGTGTTGGACTCCTTGGAGCAGGAGCCACCTAATGGTGATGGGAACCAAACTTGGGTCCTATGGAAAAGCAGCCTGCTCTTTTAACCACTGGACCATCTGTTCAGCTCCTCCTGGAGGCCTGGTTTCATTCTGTGCTAGACATTGAACTCAGGCAAGCACTTCACCAACTGCATCCCAGGCCCTATCCTACTAAGCTGTCCAGGCTGGTCTTTCAATACCCCTGCCTCAGACCACCAAGTGCCTGGGATTGTTAAGTAGATAGTCAGACATTAGAAAGCTTGGTGATCTTTGAGGACATCTCTCACATAATCAGCATTGGACCCCATTTCCTGTATCCCGGTGAAGCAGTTTTTAAAGAAACTGTTGTGTTGCTCCTTATAAAAAAAAAAAAAAAAAAGCTTGCATTGGTGGTGCCAACCTTTAATCCTAGCACTCCGGAGGCAGAGGCAGGTGGATCTCTGAGAGTTCACAACCAGCCTGGTCTACAGAGTGAGTTCCAGGACAACCAGGGCTACACAGAGAAACAAACAAACAAAAAATTGAGAAAAGACCTCTCTAGCTATGGCTGGCCTGGAATTCCCTATATAGAGAAGTTTGGGCTTAAACTCACAGAAATGTGCAGCATTCTGAATGCTGGAATTAAAGATGTGCACCATCACACCTAGTTTAGTTGTCTCTTTTTAATTTTGAAAATATTGAGTGGCCTACCAGGGACTATTGTTTACTTCTCTCTCTCTCTCTCTCTCTCTCTCTCTCTCTGTGTGTGTGTGTGTGTGTGTGCGCGTGCACGCGCGCGCGCGCACGCACACACACACACACACACACACACACATTCCATAGAGAGAGAAGTCAAAGAACAGCTCAGGGGTAGTTGGTTCTCTCCTTCCACCATGTGTGTCCCAGGGTTGAACTCAGGTTGTCTGGATTAATGAAAGCATCTTTACCCACTGAGCCATCTCCAGCCCAGGACAAAGCAGGTTGCTATAGTCTACTGGCAAGGCAAGCTCTCTTATCATTTTTCTTTCCTATGCTCCTTTGTGGTCAGTGTCTGCCATGTGATGTGGGTGGGTGGTGAAGCAGTTAATTTACTTCACCTCCTCCTGCCTCATTGGAATGCCTTCTGCTTCCCCTCACCCAACATTCCCATGACTTAGAATGATCCTGGCTCAAATTTAGGGAAAGGAAGGGAGCAAAAGAGCACTAGATCCCACCCCAATTTGGCACTATAGGTTGGGTTCTGAGACCCATGACAAAAATGGAGGCACTGTGCTACCTTGACCATGTGTGCTGGTGTATGATTCCATGCCTCAGAACAGTTGAGCTGCTTTTAAATAAAAAATAATTACATTTGGTGTGTGTGGGTGTGTGTGTGTGTGTGTCCGCGCGCGCGCGCACACACACAAAACCAGAGCCAAGTCACAAACAGGGCACACTCCCCGCTTCTTCCCCTGTTCTTGTGTGGGCTCCTGCCTCATTGGTAGTTTGTAAAACTAAGGATTGGAGCCAAGGCAAAGCCAAACCAAGCACTGATGACATTCTTGGTCTCACTAGTTGCAATCAGATCTTCTCCATCATGGCAAGGCATGGAGACCTTTCCCACGGAGCCATGGAACTCCCTGCTGCTTTCTGTTACCACTTCCCTCCACCTCTGCAGTTTGTGCTGCCACTGGGATCTCCCTTACTTTCCCGCTTTTGAGGACTCACCTCCAGTCACTTCCTCTTCCTCCCAGTGTCCTCTTGGCTCCTGATATTACACCCATGCTAACCTGACTCAACTACTATTCCAAAAGGGGTATGGTTGTACCCCATGATATTTTATGGCTATTCCTACTGCCATGGGACAAGGTCAACAAGTTTCCTTTTTTCCTTCAGTATGTATTCCAGGCTGGCTGACCAAGGGGACTTTAAATATACATTTAAAAGTAAACTACTGTGCTCATACACATAAAGTAAATAAACAAATTCTGTTTCCCTCACTGAGGTCTAGAGAAGGAACAGAGACGACAAGAGGAAGCTAAAGCTATTGGAGAAAGATGGAGTGTGTACAAGTAACACAAGATGGCCACCGGCTCCTCTTGAGGAAATGAGCAGACACACAGGTCACTGGATGGGACATTACCTGATATAGAGTACCTTTCTAAGATACTTTCTACTCCCCAAATCAAAGGCTCTTTAGACAGAGCCCAAACAGTACCTCTGCCCTGGCCTCCAGTTGGCCTCTAATGGAGCTTTTTCTCTTTTTCTTGTCTGTCTTCCTTCCTTCCTTCCTTTCTCTCCCTTTTTCTCTTTCTTTCTATCTTTCCCTCTCTTGTTGTTTTTGTTTGTGTTTGTTTTGGTTGTCTCCTGTTGCTCAGGCTGGGCTCAAAGTCACTAAATTGTCAAAGTCAAGCGTGGCCAATCATCACTTCTCCCCACCTGTGCTGGCTAGTTTTATGTCAGCTTGTCACAAGCTAAAGTCATCAGAGAGGAGAAAGCCTCAATTGAGAAAATGCCTCCAAAAGATCAGGCTGTACACAAGCTTGTAGGGTATTTTCTTAATTACTGGTTGATCCGGAAGGGCCCAGTACTTTGTGGGTGGTACCATCCCCTAGGCTGATGTTCCTGGATTCTATAAGCTGGCAGGCTGAACAAGCAATAAGGAACAAGCCAGTAAGCAGCCTCCTCCATGACCCCTGTATCAGCTCCTGCCTGACTCCAGGTTCCTGCCCTGTTTGAGTTCCTGTCCTCAGTTCCTTCAATGATGAACAGTGGTGTGGAAGTATAAGACAAATAAACCCTTTCCCCCCTAAGTTGCTTTTGATCATTGTGCTTTATCAAAGCAATGACCTAACTAGGACACTCCCCTTTCTAAATGCTAGGATTGTGTGTGTGTGTCTTGCATGCATGTCTGTGTACCATATGCATGCCTGGTGCCCAAGGGAGCCAGAAAAGAGCCTCAAATTCCCCAAAGACTGGAGTTACAAGTGGTTGTAAGCCATCATATGGGTGCTGGGAATCAAACCACAGTCTTCTGGAAGTGCTCTTAACCACTAAGCAACTTTCTAGCCTGTGGGTAGGTAAAATCTAAAGTTCTCTCCTCAATAGCACTCCCACTGGTCAGTTCTTATGTCCTATTCAGGGCACTGGCCTTTGAGTCTTAGAGATGGCCGGCCATCAGTAACACTCAGTGACAGACACCTTTCTGTGAACAGGCCTCCCCAGCAAATCCTGACTATGGGCTACTAATATGGTAGGTGACTGATCACAGCCACTAGAGCTGTAGGCATATTGAAGGGCTCTAATGTGTTTCTCTGGCCTGGACTCTGAGTAATATAGTACCTCCAGATCAGCGAATTCCTCTGTTATGGGCTTTTAGCTGGTACTCACCTTGCAATACCCCAATGCTGGCCATTAAAATCACTCCTGGCTTTGGTCTCCTGAGATCTCATCATAACAGTGATGGTTCTCCATTTCCTAGGTCACTCAGCCTAGAGACAAATCTGTGGGAATTAGACACCATCTTCATTGCTCTTGAAGACCCCAGTTCTCTGGCAAGTTTGAAACAGATTGTATCTATTGTAATGTTGTTCTGATCCTATTTGCCTTTGGAGCTGTGTAATTAATTGCCACTTTATCTCCGTTTAGAGCTGCTCTCTTAGGTGGTTTCTCTATCTGGGACCCCTGATCTTCCTCTAAGGCCTGAAGTTCAGCAAGACTGAAGACCTAAACCCTTCTGTCCTGTTTCAGACTGAAGTAGCCATATCAATCCACTAGGTGACTTTAGTGTCTATCTCTTGAGGGAGACTGTTAGACAACTATCAGAAGTCTGACATTAGCAGGCAAGGTCTTTGAGGCTTGAACTCTATCTCCTGCTACCCTGGCAACACGTTGATTTTTTAAGGATGGAGAAGTATTTGGTTGTGATCCTTAAGAGTGAAAACACTGAATGCAAAGGAGGTGGGCTAAGGAAGCAGGGTTCTGCTTCCTCACTTGTCAAGCAGGCCTGGCTTAGAGATGTACTTATTAGTATATGTATTCAGTATGTGTGTGTACAAGCATGTATGGTGACAGTAAGCAGAGGGCCAAGGACAACTTGTGGATATCAGTTCTCTTCTTTCATTATGTGGGTCCTGGGGATTGAACTCAAGTCATCAGCCTTAGCAGCAAGTGAGCCATCTTACTGCTCTTAGGTTTCTTCCCCCCCCCCTCCTTCCTTTCCTTACCTTTCTTTTCCTTTCAATCTACTTGGTTACATGGTTTGAGTTTTGTTTTTTGATTAAGAATGGGATCTAAAGAAAAGAAAGAAGGAAGAAAGAAAGAAAAAAAGAAAGAAAGAAAGGGGCTCTCATCTGTCTCTGGCCCTGTGTAGAGAAATAACATTCTAAACCACCTAAAATATAAGATTGGGTCAGGTGTGATGGCTGGCACACACCTTTACTCTGAGCACTTGGGAGTCAGAAGCAGTAGATCTCTCTACTAGTTTGAGGCTAGCCTGATCTACATAGAGAGTTCTAAGCTAGCCAGGGCTACATAGTAAGACCCTGCCTAAAACCAAACCACACTAACCCCCACAAGCCCCCAATCTTATTAAGTTGTAATTTATAGACAACAAAAAGAGCTCATGTTCAGTTGTACCCATAAGTTTTGACAACCCCTCCCCTAGATTGTGTGCTGTGATTCAGACTGGACAAACTTCAGAGGCTTATGTCTGTTCAGTGCCCATCGACTCGGGCTTCTTGTGGGTGGGTGGGGGAAGGGAAAAGTGCACACTTCTGCGTTGTGGTTTTGAGTTTTTCCCTTTCGCTGTGGCATAATGGTGCCTTTAGGTGGACAGGTGTTTCGTTTCTGGTTTGGAACTAACAGGAAGCTGATAAAGCTAGTGAGGGGCCCCAGGCTCTGCCTGCCTCTGCTGAGTAATGAAGCCTGATTTGCTAATGGTCTTCCGATGTGAGCATTTGTGTGGCTTCAGTATTCATTTTTGTTTGTTTGTTTTGTTTGTTTGTTTTTGGTTTTCGAGACAGGGTTTCTCTGTATTGCTTTGGAGCCTGTCCTAGAACTATCTCCGAAGACCAGGTTAGACTGGGACTCACAGAGATCCACCTGCCTCTGCCTCCCAAGTGCTGGGATTAAAGGCGTATGCCACCAACGCCTGGCTCTTTTTTTAAAAAACATAATTTTGTATTGATTCTTTGGGAATGTCACATCACAAACCCTAATCCTGTTAATTTTCAGTCCCTCCATATCTGCCCCTCACCCCTGTAAGATTCCCCCAAAAGACCATTGTAAAGAGGTTAATTCAAAACAAAACAAAAAACCGCTTCACTCCTCCATCTTTCCTGTCTCTCCAACACCGCTTCATTCATCTTAGTGGCTTTGGGCGCTGCGGTATGTCATGAAATATACCCTTTTGTCCACTCAACTTTATTTGCAAATGAGTTTACTGCAATGAGTTGTCTGTCTGGTTCAAGTCCTCTGGCTTCTGGCACACCATCAGTACTGGACCCTCACCGAAACTCCTCTCAGAGTGTCCTGCTGTTGGCCTGAGTCTTAGAGATCCTGTGGCTTTGGTTCTGCAGGACCAGCCCTTTCACACATTCTGGCAGGTTATAGATGGGGTCGATGCTGGAGTATGCCAACTCAAAGCCCTGGATGTGGGTTTGAGTGGTAGCTGATTTGATCAGTCTGTGCTGCTGGGACCATCCCCTCAGGCAAGGGGCGGGGGCGGAACCACCTCTTCTATATCCATGCAATCAGAGCCAGCTCTCCTACACTCATGGTAAGGGGTGGAGCTATTTCTCCAGATCTCCCAAGAGTGGTAGGACCAGCTCTTCTGCTGCAGAGGCCAGTGAGGGGCAGGACCAGCTCTCCCAGGGCCAGCAAAAGGTAGTACAGGGTTGGATTTCAATATGCATAGGTTCTATGGACCCTGTGGTAACATAGACCATGGAGATCCACACAGATCCTAACTGCTGCAAGACCACAGACCCAGACATGGCTGGTCCTTGGATGCAGATTGGGCCTGGAGGTCACCATGTCTCCAGGTGGCAGTGCAGGCTACTCTGATCTCTACAGCCACAGCTGTAGCATGACCTTCAGACAGCAACATAGCCCCAGGCGGCAGCCCAGACCCCAGGCAACCGTACAGTCCTCAATGGTAACAGGAACCACAGACATCAACTCGGACCCTGGCCCTTGGTTGCAGCTAGGGCCGGGATGACAACATGATCCCAGGTGGCAGCACAGGCCACCCAGATCAGTATGGCACAGCTATAGCATGGCCTCAGGTGGTGGCCCAGACCCTGGGCATCTACACAGCCTTCTATGGAGAAACAGAGTCAACACAGACAGACCCTGGCTACAGTAGGTTCATAGACCCGGACATGGCCCTGAGCTGCAGCCTGGGCCCAGATGTTACCATGCCATCAGGTCACTCAGATCAGCACGGCCCCTGTAGTGGCACAGCCCTCAGACACTAATATGGCTACAGGTGGCACCCCAGATCCTGGGCATCCCTGTGGCTTTTGATGGCAACATGGGCCACAGATGTCAGCACAGAACCATAGACCCAAACATGGCCCTAGGCAGCAGCCCAGCCCAGCCCCGGACATCACCATAGCCCCATGTAGGTCACCCACATCAGCCTGCTCTTCACCACACTTGCTTCTTCAGTTCGACCTCTCTCCGCAGCACTCGAACCACTCCACCTCTCTCTCCCATTTCTCCACCTCGTATTTGCTTATCACAATGGTGCCTCCCCTTCTGGTACCGCAGGGAGCTGGGAAGGCCTGTGGATGTCTCCAGCAAGCCCAGGCCATGAGGACCCAGGCAGGCCTGTGGCTCCAATACTTCCTTTTTTAAGTTAACAATTTGATGAACATCTACTTTGAAGGTTATTGACCTCTGTAAGGATCTTTAAGGCTGTCCTAACCCTCTTGCTGAGGGCTTGTTGTGCTGTCTTGCCAGGGGCTGACTTGGTCAGGTGTCTGGGGACCTTGCTTCTGCTTACCCTGTGTCTCGCACAGCACTGGGCACCACAGCATCTGGAAGCCTCTTGCTGACTGTTCCTCTCTGTGGACACACCCCCAAGGGTGGAGGTGACACTTGGCTGGGTCTCTCAGTTTCATATAGCCCAGCTCTATCTAGCTCCTACCCTGAGATGCTGCCCCCCAGACCTCAGCTGGATCCATTCAGAGGAGGTGGTGGAGGGGCAAGCACTCCCAGGATATGAGACCCCTGTGGCTGGAAGGTAACTGCTCTGAGGGCTTGTAGTGCTGGAAGGTAGATACCATACTGGGCTTGTGTGGGTGGAGAGGAGCCTGGAAATCCAGCTTGAGGTAGATCACCAAATGAAACACCTCCTCTTCCTGCCTCCTGCCTCCTGCCTCCTGCCCTGGCCACCCCAGGGCACTAGATCTCAACAATCCTTCCATGTTGGGTTCCACCTTGCCCAGAGGAGGGGCTCTTCCACAATCCAAGAAGCTACTTGCCACAATCCAAGTCTCAGGTGGTCACAGATGCCTTTGTAGACTCTTGGAGCTTCTTTTCACCTATAAGGTGGATATAACCTGGAAGCCTCACCTGTGTGAGGGTAGGGTGTAGCTCCTTCCTAGACTTCACCAAGGTCCTTCCAGACCAGACTGACAACCTCTAAGTGCCTGGGGAACTGGCAGAGTGGCATTCCCGGGCTGTGAAGCTGGGGCTAAGGTCTGCAGCACCTCGAAGGGAGGTAAGGAGATAAGGAGTGAAGCTGTGGTGGTGAGGAAGGAGGTTCACCCGACACTTGCTCTCCCAGGGACCGTCAACAGTCCCCTTACAGGGGAGAGAACAGGTACAGGGTCACTGTCCAGGGCCGTGGTGGGGCACCTTGTGGCCACTCTGGCCCGTGACTCTAGCCAGTGAGTTAGACAGAGGGAAAGCGGTGAGAGGGCAGACGGGGTCACCTAGATGAGGCCCAACCCCTCACCCTTCCTCCTTCCCACACACAGATGGGCCGCCCGGGACCCCTGGAGGAGAAAGTCTCCAACACCCAGCTGTCCGGAGCTCCTGATGCCCCGGGGGATGCTCCTGGTGATGACATCCACGGGACAGAGGAGTCAGACTTGGTGCCCTCTGTCACCCTGGCTGCAACCCTCATTCTATTGTTCCTCCTAATGTCATTCTGGCTGGCTTGGTCGCCCTGCCAAGCCTCCTACTAAGTGGGCTTCTGGGTGGAGGGCAGCAGAACAGGTGGGCTTCTAGCCCCTCTCTGGGTCAATGACCCTCAGCGCTGTGGGAAATTGTTGCAGGAGGCGCCTGTGGGACGCTACAGCCTGGACTCATGCTCACCTGGCTTACTTCCCTTGATGTCTGTCTTTAGTCATGTCTCTCTCATCTTTGTAAAGACATGCTGGGGACTGTAGATAAAGCTGAATCACTTCAGTCACTTGAGTCAAGGGGTGGGGATAATTGTGTGGTCAGCTCGTCCATTCTGAGGCCTGTTTCCCATGTCTTCAAGGTAGATGGCAGTGCCTGCTTCTGGGTACTTTGAAGAAGATGCCTAGTGGGAAGGCCTTCTGCGGTCATCTCAGATAATACTCCCCCAGTAGGTCAGCCTCTGATTCTACAGTACTTACCCAGAAGATGTACTGGTCTTATCTGCCATCTGGTGGTAAAAGATAGAATTGCACCACGTGCATAGAGGCTTCTTTTGGGGTGCTCTAGGGATGGGCAAATTATTGTTTGTTTGTTTGTTTGTTTTTGAGGTGTAAAATTTTGAGATTTTTGTATGTGCACAGATCCCATTACCCAGTGAGAACTCTCTTCCTCGTCTCTCTGGCTCTGCGATGTTTCTAAAAGGTGTTAGAGAGGAGACAATTCCATCTTGAGGTATGCATGGAGGACATGACTGGTGGCTGCCTTCTTAGAACACTGTGCCTTCCTGCCTTAGGCAGCCTAAGTTCCAAAGGACCTTCTTCTCGGACCTGACCAACAGGCAGGAATCTGCCGGTTGGGTCTGCAAGGGCAAGACCACGGAAAAAAACCTGCAGGCATCCACATCTCATGGGATCTCAGCTTTGCCAAGCCTGGAGGAAGGATTTACAGAAGTTTTCAGAGAATACACTGGGTAATCCAGGGCTACTACAGCTTGGCTGGTGGCCAGAGGCTGGTAGGAGGCTCTGGGGTGTGAAGGGGTGTCTCTAGGAAGTCTGTCTTAGACTGTGGGGAGGCCAGAGACTGTGTTCTTGTTATCCAAATGCTGGCTTTCCTTCCAGGAACTCAGGGCCCATCATGGGGGAGTCCAAGAAGCAGGAGGGGAGAGGGGCTAGTGGCAGGGAGGCCTTGAGCTCTGGTTTCTGAACTATGTTTTGCCCACGTCAGGGTACCAGCATAGCGTGCTGTTCCTTCCTGGGAACACAAAGGGCATGGCTGTGTGCTCCACTGGGGACAAACTCAGCACAACTTAGGCCAACACTTGCGTCCTGTCTGCCCAGGCAAAGTGAGATGTGCACAGGGGGTTTAGGAGGCCTCAGAGAGTTTTGGAGGGGTGGAGGTACGGCCCCCTTGAAGCAGCAGAGACAGACACTTCAGGTGAGAGACTGAGGGTTAGGGTGGGAGCTGGGCCACGCCTTTCCACTAGCAGGATAAGAGGTGGCATGCTGAGCAGGGAGTCCAGGGAAAGAGGGGAGAGGGGCTCCTAAGGGGGCCACTGTGGGACTGCCCTGTGGCCAGTCTGTGAGGCTCTGAGTGCAAGAAGTAACAGTACCTCAAGGCACCCAAAGCTGCTGGCCATCCCCTCTCTCATCCCTATCACTACTGGAAAGAAGCTACAGCAAGACACCTGGTCCCTCCTGTCCTCTGAACTCCTACTCTTCTTGTCCCCTTGGGTGCAGCTGGTTAGATAGCAACTCTGATCCCTTCAGACCTTAGCACAGGTCGTCACTTTCTGTCAGGTGTGATTCCAATTCCCTCATCTCTCTTGACTCCACCCACCAGGTGCAGAGCCAGACCACAAGCATGCTTTTTTCCTCCTGGTAGCTGAGATCATTGTTGCAGACTTCAACCATTTGTGTCAGCAATCCTCCTGGAAGTCATGAAGACTGCCGGCTAAGGAGAGCTGGGCAGTGGGCAAAAGCTCCCCTCCCCCAGGCCTGTCTGCCGGAAGTCCAGGCTCTACCTAACAAGCTGCCCACGTAGGCCAGGGCATGTCCATGCATTGTTGAACAGGACTCATGAAAATGTCCTGCGGTTTCCATGTTTCCCGTGGCCCACTAGCTTCATCTGGCCCCATTCCTGAATTCTCACATGCCCAGGCCACAAGTACCTGGGGAGAGTGCAGGCCAGGAAGACACTGCATCTGCAAGGAAAACATTGTTTTGTATAATTCAGCGGCCCATTCTATAAACATTGCGGTTCTGCCTCAGGGTTTTTCTTGCCTGTCTCCTGCCTCCTGCTCTTCCAGGGAACACCAGGCAGCCAGATGCCTGAGGTTAGGAAAATATGTACTTTTGGTGAGTTGGCTGTTGTAAAAGGTGACAGGATGAGCTTGGAAACATTACCAGGTGTGTCAGAGAGTCCAGGAGAGGGTCTGATTGGAGTCTTCCTCCAGAGGCTTGCAGAGAGACACGTGTGCATGAGTGTGTGTGAATGCACAGGGGTATTGCTGTGTGCTTGTGGGTATGCATGTGTGAGTATGCATTTATCCATGTGATGGCAGCAGCAGGGATTGGCGGGGTGGAGTGAGGGGTAGGGTGGGTGAGTAGCTGGGTATGGATTGAAACTGATACTGTCTACCAGTCAGGTCAAACACAGGTAAACACTTACAGGGAGGGTTCAAGGGGTTCACAGAGAGGCAAGGGCAATGCCTCCATGGGGCAGAGGCGGCCTGTGGTTCAGGAGAGCAGCTGGAGGCAGGAGGACACTCAATACTGCTGTGGCTTTTTCCAGTGATGAAGTGGGGGCTGGGTTCTTGGGCAGGGTTGGCACTAGGCCTTTAATGGAAACATCCTGGGGTTTTCTGTCTGATAAACTAGGATTGTCAACTTCCTTCTCACTTGGGACAAAGGATTTGGACACTGTTGAAAAATTTAAATCCCCCAGTAGTAATGCCACCAAGGATATAATAAATCAGGTCAGGCCAAATTAGTAAGTCCAAGTTTAATCTGAGCAGAGCAAAGTAACTCCTGGGTGACCCGGGTGACCCTGACCCTTGAGAAGGTAGGGGAGGACATGCCGAATATGGTTACCAGGCATTATGTAGCTTGTGGGTATGGTCCTCAGCTGACTGAGGGAATTGCTGACTTTCGGTGGGATTTCTCAGGGTCTGGGTTTGGAATGGGAAGAGTGAGACCAGAGGATGGAATGGGGCCCCTAGTGAGAGACCCCCAATATCCCAGCCCTTTGGGGTACATACGCACAGCGGTAGGACTTCCACCTAAACATCTCAGACTCTTTGGGTTTAGGATGGCAAGGGTTGAGGTGGAGCTTCCACCAGAACCACTGCAAGGTGCATGTGGTGTGCTGGTAACCCTCCCTCACCACTTGTGAACCTAGAGGGAGACGTGGGGTTACTGTCTTCAGGCAGGCAGACGTGGCTCAGGACAGTCTGACTATGCTACGACCTGGCTGCCTCTCTAGAGGGGCCAGCAGTCATTTGAGAGTAGACAGGGAAGAGGAGGAGGAGGGCAGCCCAGGATAGGAAGCTGAATCCCTTTAAAGGTGGTGAGCAGTGCCAGGCTATAGGTCCATAAGATATCAATCACCATCTATAGTTCTAGAGTCTCAGGCCAGTCCCCATCTGTTTTCTAGCCTCATTGTCCCCTGTAAGGTTCAGTCCCAGTGCTGGAGGATCACAGGGCTGTAGGGAGACAGTGGTGGGGTGACAGATGGGGAAGGATAAGGGATCAGCACACAGACTGCAGATGGGCAGCTAGCTGTACACAGGCAGAGCCTGGCTTAGGAGTCCTGACCTGTAAGATCCCTCTGTTCTCTTGTATGTCTCTCCCTCATTGAACACTCCTGACACCTTTCTGGAACTCCAACACACTCACAGGTCTTAGGTACATCCTGCACAGGGTCAGGAAGAGGGAACAAGGGAGGCCTCTCTGTCCCCTCCACCGCTTCATCCAATAACCATTATTGTATCTGGGACTCCAGAGTCAGTTCCTGCCACTGTTTCCTTATCTATAAGATGGAACTGGCCAAGCCTGCAAGTTCCAAAGGATGTGACATTGTTGAATACCTGTTGTATCTGCCTGCCACTTGCCTATCTGGAGCCTACCTCCTTGTAGCCTCTGCTGCCTCCGTTGACACTCTCTTTGTGGCTACTAAGTAGCAAAGCAGCTCTTTTTCCTTTCTTTCTTCCTTCCTTTCTTCCTTTCTTTCTTTTCCTTCCTCTTTAAGACAGGGTTTCTCTGTACAGCCCTGGCTGTCCTCGAACTCAGAGATCCACCTGCCTCTGCCTCCCTAGTGCTGTGATAAAGGCGAGCGCCACCACCCAGCTGCAGCCACTTTTCTTGCTCAAGCAATGACATTACATTTTTTGGATGGTTGGATACTTCCTGGCCGGAAGTGGGCTAGGCGACACCCCCACTGTCCTGCTCTGCCCTCCCCCCTGAGTGTTCAGCCCATCTCCTGCTGTACTGCCCAGCCAGTGTCAGGGTCAGGCCAAGACCCCTCTGCCTCCTTGTTCAGACTGAGGCCAAATGGAGCCTCTGGGGTCACAGGTGGCCTGGGATACTTCCTTTGAGTTATTTTTGGCTGGAGCTGGCCAGTGGACTCCTAGCCAAAAGCAATTACTAAATTTTCATCTTGTTTTGCCAACAAGTCAGATTATGCCAAAAATGTTCTGCGTGGAGGCCCAAAGGCACTTCAGGGGAGGCAGAGGTGGGCGTGCTAGCTCCCCTGGAAGGGACCGCCTGTGGTTGATGAGCTGGAGATGGCCAGGGCAACTAAGGTCTGTTTATATCTGTGCTGTGACCGTCTGCCTGATGCACCGCACACACTCTTCCTCCCTTTATCCTGTACCAGCAGGGGGCATTGCCTCCTTCCTACAGCAGAGGAACCTGGGGTGCCCAGGGTTTAGCCACACTCCCGGAAGCTAGGGAGGCCAGGCTGTGCTCTAGGACCCTGCTGAGGGCAAACTAAGTGGGGGCTGGGAAACTCCAGAACCCAGATAGAATGTGCCCCAGGCCTTCTTCCTTACCCAGGACTCATGCAGGTTCTGCCCCCACAGCTCCCACCTTACCAGCAAACTGAAATGACAGACAGACAGACACACCCTTCTAAGTGTCTACCCTGCTGGACGCCACAGCCTACTTACACGTTTTGAAAGCTGCTGAGGATGGGTGTGGGGGTGAATTCCATGGTCTAAAAGCACATCCTAGCTGGCTAATGGTGGGAGAAAGGCTGTCCTAGGAGCTCATACTGTTTCACAGGGACCC